GACCCTTTGTTCTGGCTAAGAAACCTTTTTACAAACATCAACTTAACTCATATCTATAAATTCAGTCAAAAAAGTGCCTAGAAACAAGTACAAAAACACAAATCAAATGCGGTGATATTCATGAGCTCAGTGCTTAGAAGAGACCAATGCAGTTCTGGGAACGCTGGTGCCCACACTGTGATTGCAGAGGGTGAAGGAGGCAGTGTGGACCAGAATTGGGACATCTGGCAAGTGATGCCCTACAGGAGGACACTCAGTAGGACATGCCAATGAAAGAAGCATGTCTAAAACTCAGTTTCTTATTCTATTTGTGACCTGCCAGTTATGTCATTCACAATGCGATTCATGGGCTACTCTTGCTTTTCCTCCTAAGGTGAAATTTCAGTTCATGTTCCCTGGACTGTCCATACATTTTGTGTTAAGTCACAACTGCCGTTACACAAAGATCCAGCTCAGAGGCTCTGGACTGCAGTCTGGCATCTGAGCTTAAAACATGCAGCAGCTCTCATGATTGTCTTGCCCAAATCCCCCCTTTTTTAGGTTTGTACAAGGCAGAGAAGTCATCAGGGCAAAGGAACACAAAATTACATATGTACCACCAAAGGCCTTCTCGGGCAGGACACCAGGGATTTCTCCTGACCCTCATCGCTGCAACGATTTAAGCCTATTCAGGCTGGGACATCAATGTCTTCTCTTTCTTACCTTCCAACCTTGAGTCTAACCTCCCTATCTGTCCTGCCGCCGGTTGCAGTATAACCTCTCCGTCTGCCAAAGTCCCTTACGTAGCTACCTTACAGAAACCACTGCAATACACCATGTGAGGAGGGAATGGGGATACAGATGTATCAACTAAAGCCGTGGTACCTATTGCATTCACTACACATCAAACTTTATCTCCATCTTCTTGCTCCCCACGATGTGCAAACACTTCATCTGCCATAGATGGGCACAGCAAAAGGGTCTTACACTGCAAGAAACAGTCAAGCTCCTGCTTTCTCAAGGATGTTTTCCATCATTCTGTAGTTACTGCCTCTTTCTTTTCCTCTTTTTCTTGATCTCTCATCTTCTCTACAAGCCAGTACACCGTGTCATTCAGAAAACAAAATCTTCAGGTCAAGAAATCTGTGTTCATAAACTGCTACATTAGGCTTCTGAGTTGTTTGGTAAAAGAATCATCCTGGTCAGGCTGCAGTGGAGTAAACCAGCACACATTCTGGGATACAGGGAAAGGGCACTGCCTCACTGAATGGCTACAGCTATCATCGGTAATAGTCTTTCAAAAACTCTCACATTAACATTGTACCACGGCAAGTAATCTAAAGGACCTCTCAGGGTGATCATTCCAACAATAAAAAGACACATAAAACAAGTTTGCCAAAATGCAGTCACGCATGTCCTGAAATGAAGTATCAATCTATGGAATTGCTCTGAAAGAAGATAACTGACTAATACCCTTGATGCTGGGTTTCCAGTGCTTCTAGAGCTGCATAAGAGCCTATCGCGGTCCCAAACGTCTTTTCTATGAAGGTCGACTGCACTGTAATGCATTTATGACCAGTCATTTTCTGTGTAGTTTCCAGAGAAGCACTTGAACAGACTGTGCATTTTTTCCTCAATTGGTTATTCTCAACTAAAAAATTGTTTTAGAGATCCTGAACAATAACACAGCCCTTGGGAGAAAAGCTTCTCTGCATTAGCCATCCGGCTGACACCATGAATGATTACATCCAAGCATAAAATTTAATGAGATTTCTACAGAAATGAGTGACATCTGCATAGCACTCAGGTCCTGGCTAACTGTCATACATTTGTCTTCACTGAGGCTTTTGTCCTTTATTAATCCGCTTTCAAGAATGCCTGCTGTTGGAAATGGAAATGCTTTTTAGCAGTCATCCTGCAGACTGTATAAGAGCACAGGTCTCAGAAAGCATAATGACACATTGTCATCACTAGGAATGCATTTTAAAGGTTTAAAAAAAACCATGAGACAACTCCAGCAACAAAATATATTGAGAATTTAGCAGGAAATGTCTGCATAAATATATTTTACATATTTTTGTATAAGCAAGACACTTGTGCATTTGCCTATAATACAGTGCACAGGAGAAATATTGTCATAGAGGAAAAGTACTAAAATATTTCCCTTTAATTTTGTTTGTGCTTGGGACCATGATATAGTTCTGGGCCTAGGGCTCAAACTCAGTAAAAGCATATGATTGTATCAAGACCCCAGCTTTCCTTTAAACTTTCCCTCATGGCTACACATAAAAATTTCACTAGTGTTTTCCTACATCAACAGATAGCCTGAAACAATAGATGATGGAGATTGAAGATCACCCGATTATTAAATTAGCCCCAGAACTTGCTATTCTTAGACAAAGGCCTGACCTGGTGCTTCCCATCAAAGAACAGCGAACACTTGGCAGGAAGGCAGGGCTGCAGAGGACACATCTTTCTGCCATGTTTTCCCCAGGAAGAAAAGCGAGACCTTTCAACTGCAAATGAAGATGGGACTCCAGAAAGCCAAGAGTCACAAGGTGTCCGAGGGAGAGCACCACCTTATCCCAGCACTGCTTGTGACTCAGTGGAAGGCACTGGCAGCAGTGAAGGCAAGCCTGCTGAGCAGGCAGAGAGAGGGAAAAGGAGAAACTCCCAGCACTGAAGCTGTTCACTACCAATGGAAGTGGAAAACCTTGTTCTTTCTATAGCCCAGAGCTGTACCCTGTGCTCCTGTGAAGAGGATGGCAGTGTGTTGCAGGGACAAGCTTCTTCCATCATATATCCTTAATACTAAACTTTACTGAATTCCTTCCATTCCTGGAATGGAAGGAATTGAATCCTTTGAATATCAAACATTCATTCGACTTTTTTTTCTTGCTATTATTTCTAAATGCCATATATTTCCAACATTTTAATGTCAATTAGTTGCTTATAGATCATTGCCAAGCAAAGAAAGGCAAGTGAATAGCATAAATTGCTTTCTCATTTAAAGGATTCAATGCTATTTTCACTCTGAAGCAATTGAGCCCAACTATTACAAAACTCTAATCATACTGTTGTCATAGTTCATGTAAACATGCTTTTGTTGAAGGCCTATCAGAGGAAATATAAAGCTGTTTGCAGCTGCAAATGACAAAAAAAGCCCAACAACTAAATATATTTCAGTTAATGGATTTTTTTAGCCTTTGATATTCAGATAAATTTGTTTCTACTCATGGACTAAGGATTCTATCCACCAAAAGATTTGATTGCATGAAATAGCACTAAAATATAACAATGTTGAGCTAAGTAATGCAGAAATGCTGGCTACAACTGCCACTTCAAATGGAGGAACCAGACCTGAGTGTTTGCCACCCTGATCTGCAGGTGCTGAGCTCTGAGAGTTCAGCAAGTGGGACCGTCACTCACCACAGCCCATGGGAATGTAGGGATCCAAAGGGCCCGCTCCACTACAGCTGAAGATACATGCAAACAGCACTGGGCTCCCACAAAAGTGTAGCGGCAATTGCATTCTATTAATAAAGTTGTTTCTGTCATCACCCTTCTGCGGTTTTGTTTTGGGACAAAGGGTCCAGTAGTGCATTTCTGATTTCACAGTCCTCCATCTCTGTAGGAACAGAAGCAAAACTTCAGCCTCCAACAGGATAGAAAAGAATCTGAAGGGCCTTGGATGTCAAGAAAATCCAGATTTGTCATAAATAATTATAGCTATTAATAATATTAATACTTTACAGAAGTATTAATTCCTGTCTTCAGGACTTATATAAGCTTCTAAGCATAAAAAAACACAGGAGAGATGTTTATTCTGCATTTATGCATGACAGATGCACATTTTCCCCTAAACCTCTGTTTACAACTGTGGAAGAGGATCCTGAACCAGGAGAACCTTGCTTCTGATTTAGTTTGATAAATGTAAATGGAAAATGTTTTCAAACACCAGTAATATCAATGTCAAGAAGAATTAAAGAAGTAAATTGGCGGTGGGGGTGGGACATTATAGCCACATTTTTCTTTGCAAAGACGTGTTTGCTACCAGAGACCTCACTTATTGGATCGGTCACATGGCATATAAAAATGGTGATTAGCTTATTCTCATTTGGAGCAGCTAAGTGGAATAAATAATCCTTTCATTTCTCAAGTGAGAAGTTGGGGGGGGGGTGTTGCTTTTAATGGAACCATAGCAATTATTAGTCTGCAAAATATTTGGGTTTGGGTTTTGTTTTGTTTTTAATAGCTTTCAATCAAACAGTTAATGGACTTCCAGCAGGATAGTAATCCAGGCGGTTTCCCTGAATGGGTGAATGTGAGAAAAAGGATGAATGCTGTGTTCTTGATTCAGTTATTAGTAATATTATTGTTCTTCAAGAAGCATTTCCACTTTTTCTTCATTCTTCAAATTGCTCTTTTTTCTCTTTCATTTTAGGTTCAGAACAATTATAACGGAGGATCTTTTTTTAAATCTGTTTCTATTTCTAGTTCTTCCACTGTCACTCCGACACGTTAATTGATACTCACCCACTCATCATTTAAAGAATAGAAACAATCACAATTTACCTGCAGAAATCATGGAAATGAGGTATCTCTGTGATGTGGTAGTGTGCATTTTAACCCTTGTATTTCATGGATATTGAACTCCACCGGGTCCGTACAGAATGCATCTTCTGTATTATTGCTGCTCATCCGCAATGATGGTGTGGTCTGTTTGTTTATTCCACTTTATTTCTAGGTCCTCCTGGTCCCCCAGGGGTTGTAATAGTGGAGGAAATTACAGACACCACAGCAACACTCTCCTGGAGTCCTGGGGCAGACAATCACAGCCCTATTTCCCTCTACAACCTGCAAGCACGCAGTCCATTTTCTCTTGGCTGGCAGACCGTAAAAACAGGTGAGAAAAACTTTCAAACAGCACAAGTAGACTGTTCAAAACTCTTGCTCGTCACAGTAATAACAACTGGCAACTGCAAGAACAGGTACTCTTAAGAGAACAATGATAAATTAAAAACACTGATTTTTTTTTTCCTTTTTTCATTCCTTTCATGTTACTTAGCAACAGCTCTGAAAGGACAACACAAAGACACCTGCCATGATGCATCTGTGAATAAGCAGAAAGCTCTCCCCTATATCCTTCAATCTGTGTCTTTTCAGGAGTACCAGTGTCAAAAACTTAGCTGTGATTTCTGACTTATTAGATCCTTGATGTCTATCATTTCTAACGGCTGTATTTGTATCATAAAGTCCACTCGCCATTGAGACGCTGTATGAGAGCTTCAGATTTCTGAGTGACCTACACATTTCTTTACTGTCTGTAGTTCCAGATGTGATAAGTGGTGACATGGAGTCTGCTATGGCTGTGGAACTGAACCCTTGGGTGGAGTATGAGTTCAGAGTAGTAGCAACCAACAAAATTGGGACTGGAGACCCAAGTGCACCATCACGAGTGATCAGAACCAACGAAGCAGGTAAGAAGAGGATAAAAAGGTTAGTTTTCCAGGACTACCAGAAACAAGAACTATTTTAATATAATAACAAAACTATTCTCTTCTCCCTGGTACACATCTCTGTGTTCACTTATCACTGTTCCAGGGTGGGTGATATTCCTTGTAATGGGGAGCAAGTTTGTTTTAATTACAGGAATATGGTTTAATTTACAGAAATTTCAAATAAACAATTTCCCTGCTGTCTTACTCCCTCCAGGCTGCCTTACTCTTCCTCTTACACTTAACCCATTGCTGCCTGCCCTCTGGCAGGCTTCCACTGCTCTTCAGTTGTAGGCTGCTTCTCAATCTCTTCACACCACTGCTCCTAAGCAGCCTCTCTCCCCTTATTCTTGGTAACTTCTCTCCTTGAAGGTGCACAGAATATTTTTAAGCAAGATAGGGAAGCCATGGGAAGCTGCTTAATTTGAAATACTTTGTGTTCTAAGTGTTTCTTTGTCATGAACACTCTCCCATGAATTGTTAGTGCATTTAAAGAAATTTCATTATATTTCTGACTGGGATGGTACTGTGGGAGCGCAGGAAAAAGGTTGTATATCCTATTTGGTTTCTTGAAAATTGCAGTGATCTCGCAAAGTTTAGAATCATTAACAGTAACTTGGGCAGAATGAAGGGAGATAAAGAAGTATTGGGAATCTGAGAAAAATCCCTAGGCAGCTAGAGGCGCACAGTTTAAGAGGTAGAAAGAGATAGACACAGGGTTTGAATAAAGCCTCAGAAGAGAACTGCTTCTCAGAACACTTTCAGATTATGCTTTATTCTTCTTTGTTATTTAGAAGGCCTAGACAGTCTTGATTTTGTTTTGATGTTTCTTCAGCTGAATAATTTGTAAGTAGCTTTTTAATCATACAGAATAGAAGAGGGCAAAATTCAAAGATTCCACTTTAATTTGAAAGTATAACTGATTTTGTAGTTGTAAATATTCTGGATGAATACAGCATTTGTGTTGCACTCTGTCTTCTCATTAAGCGAGATTATAAGAATTACAAGGGGCAATGCCAAAATGTGTCCACCTCTCTCATTCTGCAATAAAATTCTTATATTTTAAGATACATTAATCTTGTGTCTCAGCTCCATAGTTCACTGGTCTGTGTATATGACACCCATAAACATTCACAGGAGGACATTCAGGCTGATTTTCTTAGACAGAACCACAGAATCAACTGATTAATTGGTGCTGGAGGGGATCTCGGGAGGTCTCTAGTCCAGCCTCCCGCTCAAAGCTGGGTAAACTGACTTCAGAGCAGGTTGTTCAGGGCTTTGTCCAGTTGAGTCTTCAAAACCTCCAAGGAGGGAGTTTGCACATCCTCTCTGGGCAACCTGTGCCAGCAGTTAAACTAATCTCATTGTGATTTTTCTTTCAACATATCCAAGCCAGAACTCTCTCTATTTCAGCTTACGACCACTGTCTTGTCCTCCCACCCTGCACTACTATGACCATCTCTGTCTCCTCAATGAAATCCGTGTAGACACTGGGGGTTGCTCTTAGGTCTCCCAAAGCCATCTCTGTTCCAGGCTGAACAAGCCCAGCTCCCCCAGGCTCTCCTCACAAGGCAAGTGCTCCAGCCCCACCATCCCATTGGCCTCCCCTGAACTTGCTCTAGTTGATCCATGTCTTTCTTATTGTGGCACCCAAAATTGGATGCACTATTTCAGATGAAGTCTAACAAACCTATCTTCAGTTGTAATAAGACATATTTATTTTTTTCTGCTTAAAATAACTGCATAGTTACTAGCTGATATTAAATTTCACTGTGCAACCACAGAACTGCACTGAAGTGATTTGATTCCCATTCACGCATGTGGAAGGATGCTTCATTTCCAACTCTCCCCCTCATCTTCTGCAAGATCCCCACAGTGTGAAACTCGATAACTTTATAGCAGAAGCTTCAGATGCTACATACTTCGTTCCATTAAGAAGAGGAGGAAGGGAAAATTAAATAAAAAACATGAGCTACTTTCATCTCAAATGATTTTCAAAACCCCCCTTATTTCACCACCGTTATTCTTTCCTTGATTTTGTACCATATTCCATTGGCAGTGAAAATTCTGCTGGACCCAAGTGTTTGAATGACTTCTCTGTTTATTCAGGTGATACATATGAAAGAGGACACAAACATTCTGGAAAAAGGTTTATCCTGTAATAGGTCACACCCCTGGCATTATGTTCTTTCAGATTTATGAATACATTCCCTGTTTTCAAAAGGATGGTTCAGGATTTTAATTAACTAGATGTATTTAAGCTGTGAGTGAATGTTTGTTCTCACAAACTGAAGTTTTAACATGTTATATTTCATCTAGCTGTCATGTTTTTTAGGTTCCTTCTTCTTCTTTCCCAGTGTTTACCAAACAAAGACTGTATTTACTAAAACATATTCCTACATTCCTACAACTCTAGTGAAAGTCTCCTTCATGCACATCCATTTTCAATATTTCTTTGGACGATTGTTGCAACCTTACCTCTGTAGAAATGAATTAGTAATCATAATAATGCCCAGTAAAAAAAAAATAAATTGTGGGGCAGACAAAGTATGCAGTGTGGGCTGTATTTTCACCCTGTGATTGGTATGTATCTCTGGGTAATACTCCACTATTGCTGCCATCAGAGGGAAGGGTCTTCAACTCAAGTAGCAGTGAACTGTACTCCAGTACATGGGGCTCCTCCTGATAAACAGTGCTGTAGCTGATAATAATGCAGGTCTTCTTGAATAATAAATAAGTAACATGTTATTTCAAATGGGAAAAAGGCCACACTAGGTGTTTGCTTGCACTTTCAGCTTCCCAGTTAGGAATACCTTTTTGCTACCAGCATTACGGCTGTAGAAATGTCATGTTAGAAGGGAGTGTTTTGTAGCATGACATTGAAATCCAGACAGGTGCCAGTAAAACAACTTAACAGCGTTCAGAGAGATTGAAGCTGATGGTATTTGGTGTGCCTGCTTAACACAGCATAGTATAGCAGAAGTCTGTTGTCATCGCCTCAATTTCAAAAGACCTATCTTTAAGACCTACCCATTTCAGTTGTGCGTGATTTGGGGGTTTGTGATTCGGGGGTTTTTTTTAATAAAAATGATAGATGCAGTCTCTTTTTTGTTACTCTATAGAGGGAATGAGAAGACAGGAGTTATAATAAGATATAACTTCCCAAATTGTTGGAACTTGCAAAGGGTTCTAAAGTCTGTACAATAACACAATGGACTCTGCTTTAAACAAAAACCCAATCAAACAAAAAAAAAACCTGTTACACATACACTTTTTGCAAAATAGCACACTGCTTATCATTTTTGTGGCACTCTTGAAATGCCAGAGGCTTCATGATCTGCTTCACTCAGACACCCACTTTGTGCTGGTCTCCAGATATTCCTGAAGTTCAGAGCTTGTTTCGTTCTGTGCTCTGGAACAGCTCTTTTAGTGATTGTGTGAATTATCACCCTTGGTGTAGTTTTCAGATGCCAAAGTCAAAGAGACAGGAAATCTAGTAATAGTCTTCACTGGGTTTCATATATGGTTTTTCAAATCAGTCCATTCATATCTATCTTAGTGTATCACCCAGTGATCTATTATTTTACAGAATCTCTCTACTACTATTTTTTATCTGAAAGCTTCAAGCTAAAATCTTTATTAACATGGGTTCCAGTTCTAATATCATATTTCTCAGTTCGTAAAAGCCATGTATGTGAAAGTACATTATATTTCAGAAAGAACATGGTATCAACCTCTCTACTCATGACCCAGGCAGAGTAATTTGGCTATTTGCAGTGATGTTAGATGTGCCCCACAAGTGAAAACAGGCAGGCTGCCCCTGCACTGGGTAAAACTCCAGAAATATCAGTCTCAGGTGGGAGTTGAGATCCAGAAGGCTGAATGATAGCTGTGTAGATAACCCACAAAGGCAGCAAATGTGTGATTCTGCTTTCATTATTTTATACTTAAATGGAAAATGGCATCTGTAATTTAATGGCACAAGCTAATTTGGCTGGAGACTAAAGCCTTTTTCTCTCCCCACATCTCACACTTCTTCCCCAAGATAGTAACAACATTTTATATTAATCCATTATCTAAAAATACCCATGGAAGCAATACTTGGGATGGTGTAAGGAAATCAACAGAATAATAAACAGGTTTCCACTTGCTTTAATTTTCTAATTAAACCCTGATCTTGTTACTTAGTTCATATTTAGTTAACATGATTGCTTTTCATAGCTACTTTCATTGGAATGGATAATACCGCAATTTTCTGGCACATCTAACTTATAGCCAGCTGCTGCATTTCTGTCACTTCTAGCCTTGATACATATTTTACAGGTCCACAAGGTGAAAAGAGCCAATAACATGAATTTAAACACGTCTGGCATTCCACTAAGGCAGTCGGGCATTTGAAGCCTGGGGGCAAAGCATCAATTACATTATCTATTCATGGGGAAACATGGGGAGAGAGAAATTGAGTAGAATCGAAGTTTAACCTGCTAATCATGCATGCAAACTTGATTTTATGAGGTAACAATATAATGCACCCTATTAGTAGCAGCTTGTACACAGGCTTTATTTTTAATAACTCCTTATTTTCCATTAGGTTGCCCTTAATCCCAGGTAGAATTTCTTCATAACATAACAAGAAATGCCTCTGTCCCAGGAAACAAGTTACCTGTTTTGGACTGGCTTTGTTTTGGGGTTTTTTTGTTGTTGTTGGAGATGTTTTATTTTTCTGTGACCTGTATAAAAGAACTTTCTTTTTTCCCCATTATAATAACTCTTTTTGTTCTAGAAAAGAAATGAATAACCTGCTGTATGTGTGACATTTGGAGATGATTACCTGGGCTACTGAAGCCTTTGTAGAAAATGTGTTTTTCCATAGGGAAAAACAAAAGGGGAAAAGAAACTAGATGGTAATCATTGACTGCATGGGTATATTTAGAACAAATACGCTATTAACACATAATATTGCTGGCTCAAACTAATATGCA